AGGTGCATATCTCAAAAGAAAATAGTTACCCGAGCAATGTTATGTTTCTGCTGCAGACTGAATGCCAAGGTGAAGAAGATGAGGATGGAGTTAACATGGATGACCCAGAAGCTGAACAAGATGAGATGTTGATTGAATATGCAGGAGATATTGTTCCAGTGTTGGGTAAAGCCATGGCACCTGATGACTTTGCACAGTACTTCAGAGTGCTCCTTCCTCTGTTTGCCAACAGAACAGTAAGACTCTGCTTCTGATACTGTGTTTGAAGTACATTTCAGACAGTTTTGTTACTTACGTTTGGTATGAATAAAAATTAAAACAAGAAATATTATAAACATTAATTTGGGGAGTTCATCTGTGTTCTTAAATATTATAGATCCATTTCTTTCTGTATCCCAAAATTTTGGTCTTTGCAGATCCAGTCTCTAGTTTGTTCAGAATAAAGTGTTTCCTTTTGTAGTCCTTCAGTATACATTTTGCTGTCCATTTCATAAAAATTAGTTAGGCTGTTAGAAAGTTAGAGATAATAGTTTTATTATTAAAGTAGACCAGTAACCTGTTACATGAAATTTACAACTTCTTGAATCCATGAAATAAAGGGATGAAAGAATGGCAGTAAACCTTAAAGTTTGCTGTTATAAAATCTTACTAAATTAAAATGTGTACCTAATCTTTCAAGTTCTAATGCCACTTATAAATACTCAAATTATGTGAAACAGACTTCTTCCCACTTTGGTTAGTCCAAAGACAAGAATTTTGTAAGGGAAACAAACCAATACTTGCTGAAATTTTGGACCCAGTATACATTTACCATGTATTTGGATTTTACAACAAGGTTTTATTTCTAGTGTGTAGAAATTCCATCTCCATTTCTTTACCTCTAACATCTCTTTACTTTGTACATGATGATGTCCTGTGAAAGAATAACCCAAATGTTTTAATTTCTAACTTTGTTACTTCAACTCTAATGGCCTTAATAATGCATTTTCTAGAAAAAGCACTGCACTGTAGCACAGCGTTCTTTTGCCGTTGGAACCTTGTCAGAATCACTGGAGCCACTTGGACCAAATATAGGACAGTTTGTACCACAACTACTGCCATTGTTTCTGGAATTGTCCAGAGATGAGAGTGATGAAGTAAGGAACAATGCCATCTATGGTATTGGGGAGATGGCCCTTCATGGCAAAGAAGCTGTTTTTCCGTATCCTTTTGTATGCTGTATGAGGTAGAACATATATTTCTGATTGTGTATATTGTCTTGGTTTGTTTGAATGTGAATGGCAGTACATTATTGTTTAGTCAAATCAGTGACTGGGTTGTTTTAAGTCATATAGAATGATAAAATAAATTAAAATATATTTTAACATGAATGTACAAGGAAAGTATTCTAAAGGGTGACTGAGTTAAAATTGGAAACAGTGGGTTAGGAAAGATGACACACAGAAGGAAGGAAGAATATGCGAATAAATCGAGGGAATTATTTGTGGGAAGGCAGGAAATTGATGGAGGGGCTTGGTTGTGAGGTCAAATGCATATTCTGTGAACCAATATTATTTAATCATACCTTTCAAAACTATGTTTCAACCCCTCATGTGCTTCCTATTTTCATCATTGCAAAAATTAGTATTCCTTAACGTTGTAGCCATTATTTGGAGATCCTCCAAGCACTATCAACAACTGCATCTAAAGAGAAACATGCAGGGACACTCGATAACGTTTGTGGAGCTCTGGCCAGGCTCATCATTACCAATGTGTCTGGTGTGCCAATGACACAGGTTAGTTTTATTGTGTGGTTACTATAATTTATGTTTGTACATTGAGGTGATCTGATATTAACATCTTTTCCTTATGCATAGGTATTTCCAGTGTTTGTGAATTATTTACCACTGAGAGAAGATTTTGATGAGAACAAAGCAGTATTTGAATGCATGACATACCTCTACCAACTGGGCCATCCAATGCTTCTTAGCCACTTGACTCCTGTCATGAAGGCAGGATTTGTAGTGCTGTGTGAACGTCAAGGAGTTAAGGGTTAGTACTTACATTGCACTGTAGTTACATGTTTAAAACAAAATTAATGGAGTCACAGCTTACAGATTATGTACTGAAAACTCTTTTACAAAAGATTTCCATTTTAGAAATTCAAACACCATAAAAGCATTTTATTTTTGTTTGTAGCCATTCCGTGTTAACAGGACACAGTCAGTATAAAACATTCTATGACCTAGGTGAGAGTTCAGGTTGTCATGGCAGTGAGTTTGAAGATGACTGTCTTCTGGTATGTTGCACCTTGTAGTCTGGTAGAAACTGAATGACAGTTCAAAAGTCCAGGCCTAAATCTAATAAAATGGTGGTGTTCGTCAGAGAGAGGAGGTCCTCCTATTCGTTCTTGACCTTGACAGTAGATGGATGTGAGTGATCATTGTCATGTCCCAGCCATGCTCTACTCCTGGAGAAATTACCCTGGTATCCATTGAAAAAATGCTTGGCAGGCGTCAGAGCTGGTCCTGATGCAGAGACTAAAGAAAAAATCCTTTGCCCCTGCTGGTTCAAATCCTGGTCATTAGTCCATAGTCAGACACTATTGTATATTTATTGAGCTACACCATCGCTGCACATAACATCACTCAGTACAATTAAAAATAAATCCATGGACATGAAGATTGTCATTCCTTTGTGAACATTTTTCACAATAATAAAATAAGAGGAGACCAGGTGGAATAAATAGGAAACAGTGCTAGGACTTTCACTGGTGGTCTTCTGGGTTTGTAACAGCATGTGGACATGTAGGGCTGAAAATGGAGGCGATATGTTCCTCAAAAAAAGTGGTATCCACCCACAAGTCCACACAGCATTGCAACCCAGATGATCACCATTGACATGTTTACTACTATGAGAACATCCTATCTCTTACAGTGCCAAGACTGGTTGACAAATTTTGAGGCTGTGCTCTATTTATGCATGGTTAAGCAATCAAAAATGTAATATCCATTAATATTTGGATATTTGTATTTTATGTTACAATGTTTTCAGCCTGTACCTTTCAGTTTTATATTTTCAGATACCTTGGACCTGGTATTGAATTTTATGAAGACAATGCAACTTAATTTTCGTGATCAATGTTCTAATGTTGTTGCTACTCTTCCACAAGAATATTTATCAACAATTCAGCAGATGTTTTCATAGCTGATTTGTGTTATTTTATGACTTTGAAGTCATATATTTGTAAAATAAATGCCTAAACAATATCTCTCTGATGAAAATTTGTGTACAAAGAATGAACATATTGTCATAAAAACTGAAGAATTACAGGAATAATAGCTTTTGAACATGAGCTAAAATTATTTCATACTGTGTTTAAAATAAATCCTTTTAGTAAATTATGTGTTAGAATCACTATTATAAAGAATTTATGACAAATATTTAATTAAACTTCATGTTATTGTTGTGATATTGTGTAATGTATCCATTCTATTTAAAATTTATGATACAGGTTCAGTAAAAGGTTATGGCACCAAGAGAGAAACAACATGTATTTATGAATTTGCCGTGTTATGATGTGTCTCAGATTATAAAAAGACTGAAATAATATATGCCATTTTTCTTCTTCTTAGTAAAGTCTTGTATGTAAAATCCTTTCATACAATGTTTATTTTTCTGTCCCTCCTGTCATCTTTATAATCCATAATTTTCCTTTTCATTTCCTGTGATCTAATTGGTTTAGAGAGGTAAATTAAGTGCCACAGTATTCCTGAACGTATAGAAATAATTAGGATGTGACAAAGGTTTTTTTTTGGGGGGGGGGGGACACTGTTAATGTTAATATGAGTTATTCAAGACGTAATACCTTCTTCAAACTCGTATGAATTTTTGTTTCATAAATGCAACACAAAATGTAAAACGGATGAAGTTCAGTAGTTGATCTGAAACTTTCTTATTCTTATCAACAATTTGTAATTTTGGAGTAGTGCTGAATCTCCTGTCAAAAGTTATCAGTGTGAAATAATCAAAACAAATACTTCAAAAACATTGATAGTTTTCAATCAAACGTGCTGAACCTAGTATTTTTAAAGTATTTAACTGTGTCATTGATGTCCATCCACATGTTCAAGTTTTGAGGATGTAAGAATTTGTGGAATTGATTTATTTTTCAACAAATTTAGTTAGAATTGCCCTACAGAGTTGAGACTTTAAGATACATGTTTCAAGAAATGCTGGTTTCCATGAATGGCAAGGAATTTCTTGACTAACAGCTACTGTCAGCTTCTCCAGAAGGACCTTCCTTCTTGGAGTTCGTTGTGTATTGTTACACAAGGCAAAGTAATTAGTAGGATGAAGGAAATGAGTTACATAATTAGGTTCTTTACAATTTTTACTTCCCCCCAAATATTCTGAGATTGTTAAATGGATAACTTACAGAATCCATATATCCATTAATTATTACATAAAATTATGTATTAAAATGTTACTGTGGACCAAAGGAATGAGAAAGGATTCACCAGTATAAAACATTTTAAATTAAGGTCTTCACATCTTTAATGTCTTCATTCACATTCCAGAAGGATTTTGCAATTGTAAGTATATTTTTAAGATGTTTACTTCTGCAGGGAGCATGGCAATATATTACCATTCCGCTTATATTCTTGGTAAAATAATTTTATTAAATTTTAGGAACCAACTGCTTGTGCATTAGCAGTTTGAAAAATAGTAACTCTTTGGTGGCGATATCTGGGAGTAGGGAGATTAATTAAATTCAAATACAAAGCGGGAATCCACGTACAAAACTTGTGTATGTTGCCAATGTTGGAAGCATGTGATTGAAATTTCTCTCATTTTATTGTTTGATGAAAATAGTGGTAAACCATACTGTAGAAATGTTAATGTTTTTAGTTCATTGTATGTAGTCTATTGCTAAGAGCTCAGTGTACAAGGTGTGTTCACAGTGTGTGATTGATATTGTTTATTAGGATAGTTGAATCCATAACCTCAACTCTACTTTATACTGTGAACAGTTACTGTGTTTACTTATTTGTTTATATAATATCAGTTTGTTGATGTTTCTGTACAGAGTAGTTTTGTACATGTTTTGCAATAACTTATTGCAAAGTGAGACACATATTCAAAGAAGCACACACATTTCCAACACAATAATCCAGAACATCCATCAATGAATGTGTTGGACATATCTGTCACCTATGACATGGAACATCACACAAGAGGGCACATATAAGGAATTTTTGTGTAGGCTGTGTTAACAGACATCTACACTGGATTTGTTATTGTCTTTTAAAGAATGCTGAAGTACTGTCTTCCTTGTGTCATGGTGGAAAAATACGTAAGAAAATTTTCAAATTTTCCTTCAGGAATGAAGGTTACTTATAAGAATGTGAGAAAAACTACCCAGGTTAATAATTGTCAGTCTTATTCATGCCCAACACATCTACAGGGACAGCATTTCCATTTTGAAGGAAGAATGTGTCATCCACATTTCAAAATGACTGGGCATAGGATTCTGAAATGTTATGAAAGAATGAAGAATAAATAAAGTTGCTTTATGAGGTTAGATACAGCAGCAATAAAGGAAGGCACAGTTATAAAGTGGATCAATTATTATAGGTCAGTTGTTATCAGTAACATTCAACATACTGGGAAAGATGAAAACTGCAGTGCATGTTACATTATATCACTGCATGTTACATTATATCACTGCATGAGTACAGATGGTAATCCTGAACATCATAATGTCCATCTGGTGAGATATGGTGCTTTTTCTTCAATAAAGCAATAGTCAAAACTGAGAAAATAAAGTTTCACAATGACACTGAACACATCCTTCTAAATATGAATGTCGCAACAAAAATACTAACTATATATACCATAGGCTTCATATACTGTCTTAGCAAGATGCTCTGAAAGCAATATTCAGAATGGAAGCAACGTTTGTGCAGTAATGTCTGGCTGAAGTCCCCTAAAAAGAATTGTGTGGAAAGAGGAAGTTTCTTTGGGTATGTATAGTCAGTTTCCCCGTTCAACAGAAGGTGCTATAAAACAAATTTTTGTAACATCAATGAACACTACACTATCACAGATTCAGAAGGGACTGTGCAGAGCGAAAAACTGGTGTGGAATCAAGAAGTGTCAGACACAGTTTGGAGCTGGAGAAATTTAAGACACAGCAGACAAAATTTCTCAGAATATGTCAAGAAGAAAGAAGAAGCAAAGGCATGTGGAAATAGGGAATTTAAATGCCTATAGTACAGAGCTGCCAGCTGAAATTTAACTGCAGAGTCAATAGTTTTGCAGCATGCTAGTTCGATGACTGGCCAGCGGACTATGCAGAAACCATGGTGCATGGTGAATAAAGGTTAATTGGTGAGTTAATAAAGAAAGTTATACATACTTTATAGTGTATTTTCCATGAATTTATATATTTGGATATGAATTCAACTTTTTAAATCAAATTTTACAGTACAGAAAGAATGAAAATACAAATAAAACTAAGCATGGATTATAAAAAATCTTACATAATTAGCTCAATTTATATAATCTTTGGTACAAGCTTTTAAAAAAAATTGGAAGTGAAAAATTCAGAATTTAACATTTCCAAAAATATTTTAAGCACAGGAAAATTGGTGCTTAGAATTATTTCCCTGTGTCTTATATGGAATATTTAAAATTGTATTATACAAAAATGAAATCTAATTATAAAAAGTGTGTTATGAAGCAACTGATAAGGAGAATAATTGTTTTCGAAAAACAAATTAAGATATTGGATTGAAAATGTGAAACCTTACCTCTAGAAACAATAAATGTACTGAAGATTTCTGTCTTCTGGGTTGTTGCGCTGTGTAGTCTGGTCGATGTTTACCAACGTTTCACAGGTCATACTGCTTCCATCATCACGGCGATGAATGTGCCAAATGGGTGGAGCAGACTACACAGCGCAACAACCCAGAAGAGAGAGATCTTCATACTCACCACTGTGAAAACCTCAAACCTTAAACAATAAATGTACTGTTAAAATTTGATTTAATTTGGTCCTGTAGAAGAAAATGTTGTCACTGCAGTGTCCTCATAAGATATAAGATTGTGCTCTGGATGCAGTTCCAGTGGTAGGCTGTTGAGAACATGGTAATGGGAATTTACTGACCAGCAAAGCATCTATCAGCTTCTCAAAGAGGACATGCCTTATGGAGGAAGTTTATTGTGTATTTGAACCCACGAAGAGGAAGTAGTAGAAAGCTGAAGAGAATTATAATTTTTGTACTTTTCACCATCATTTTGGGGGATAGAGGATGGAAAACTTCCATGTATATGTCAATATTCAGCAAACATATAAAAATCAGATGTTTAAGATTCATGCTTGTTGGATGGGGTGGACACACAAACCACTTCTTATCTTGGTTGCTATCTAGTCTACAGATGGCCCTTGTGATATCACTCTTTTAAGCAATTACTGTAGAAAATCAGGATTATCAGAAGGAAATATCAAAACTGTTATCTTCAGTCTACACATTTACCAATCTACTTTAATGCACTCTTTCAAATTATTTATCAAGATAGCAATAGTCAAACATGTCTTGTATATCAGCCTGGATGACTGATTGAGGAGGCTTTCTAGAGGAAATTAATTAATGGCTATTCATTCTGAGTGTAAGATTTGAGCCCTTTGGTTTCAGAAGGAGTAAAATGAACATAATTAGTGGTTTTATGTTTTAAATATGTACATAAAACAACGTACATTTCTGATGTCTGGAAAATGGTATTAATAAAGCCATTATTTAAGAGGGGTGTCAGTGATTGTGGGAAAGTTGCTTATACAAGGTATTTTAAAAAATAGTCAGTAGGCTAAAGAATAATTCAGGGCATTTATTATAAAAAGAACAAAATGGGTTTAGTAAAAATTATATATAACTAAAGCCATGGAGCAGAGTCCTTCTTGAGAAGTTAATAGTCATTGAGTTAGCCAAGAAATTCCCTGCTTTATAAGGAACCCAAAACTTAATTATTTTGTTCACAAGAGTCTGTCAGTGACCCGTATCCTGAGCTAAAAATCATAGTTTCAAGTGGAATGTCTGATCCTGAATCCTATACTAGTTTGTTTTGTTTATGCATGATGTCTATATGTTTTCTAGTTGACGTGTATTATAAATCGAACAGATATCAGCTATATT